AATTCCGACATGGTTCTTAATCACCACTGCTTGTATAGATTTTTTAAAAATGTATTGTTCATATCCTTTTTATAAATAAACCTTTTCTGGCCCAATGTTTGCTCAGAACAACAAATTTAAGCAAATTTGTTTCAGGTTAGCGGAATAACCCGAGAGATTGGCCGCAGTGTTGTTCCTAATGTGTCTGTGTGTTGGCAACACTGATTTATTTGGCGCCAATCTAAAATCTCCATCTCGGAATTTTCAATCAAATGGCTCTTTACCACCATCTGACCCAACTCAGTTGCCTTAGGTCCGTTTATACTCTTTTTTGGTTTTTCATTTCCACTTATAAATCCATAGATTATTCAGAATATTCCCTTGGATGCACAGTAAACCCCTGATTCAGTGTAGTCATATCGATCTAGAATTTTTTAAAGAATATAAAGTAAAACCGTTTCCTTCGGATGGTACTTTTGTCGTCCTTCTGAGGGAAAATGACATCCCTTGTCTTCTGAGGCCGGTGGGAAAAAATCATCATCCTGTCACGCGATTCTTTTTTCTTACAATTGCCCTCAGCCTATCTGCCCCTTCATATTAAGCAGTTATTTTTGATTACGGTGCCCATCGCCAGCGACTTTTACTTTTTCTCCCACTCCCTCGGACTTTAAAGTAAAGTCCAATCGCGTCTTGCGATTCGGCAAACGGGCTTTATTGGTCTATACGAAAATTTCTGTACGATACAGCTTATTCCTTCTAAACAGTCTTCTTTAACCCTTGACATTGCGTCATACCGAGGAAGTTTTATTTTAAGACAAACTTACGAAATAATCAGGGTAAAAAACCAATAAATGGAAATGTCTAGAGCATAGATTCACCCTGTCGTTTTCAATTTCTCATCCTCCATATTTTCAAAACGTCCTTTCAATTCATGAGGGAAAATAGAAAATTTAAAAGTGATATTTTTCAACACATCCTGGCTGAAAGTCAAAATTCAAATGGAAGAACATTTTCGGCCGATAAAGGTAAGATAAGGAAGAAATTTTTGGTCTTTACCCGGGTTTTGGTTGTACTGGTTACTAATACAGTTAGCTTGGATTTAATGTACCGGTTCTTCAGTTGTATGTCTTACACTGATTCACATACCCGTTGAAACATAAAATTTGCGAAGTAGTGAGTAAGCAAAGTAAATTAAGTTATTGTTTTTTTTACTCCTATTATTTATTGTATACTCCTGAATACAAATTTTAGTAAAAATAAAAAATAAAATTTTTATCCTGAATTGTTTCTCCATGCCTTCCTTGCTTTCGATTTTTTTTCTGAAATCACAAAAATGGTCATAACTTTATAAGTGCTTCACGAATACAAGGGGAATTAAACACGGGGTTAGCACTCCATAAACACGTAATAGCGTAAACCTGGCCACGGCGAAAAAATCAGAACCTTAGATATAAAATAAAACGTTTGAGAGGTTTCTGCCCACTTCATACTTATAATGAGAAAAATCTAAACCGTGTTGACACTGGTAAAACTTGGCAAATCACGTACTAAAACACTGCGCCCACCCTAAATTTATTGGATTTTGAGCTAAGAATAAACAAAATTGCTAAATTTGTTTTTCTGAGACAAAGTTGGACCAGAGAGGGTTAAATTTATAAAACCCTGATTTGAAAATTTTTATCTGCTAAAGGAATATAACAACCGATACGAGACGTAGTTGGTAGTAAAGAACCATCTTTTTATGCGATGTGAGATTTTTGGCGCCAAACAAATCAGGGTTGCCAATGCTAATAAGCTAGGGGGACAACACTGCGTCCGCTAAACAAATTAAACCATTATTAACCGGTGGTGAATATTCCAGCAGGAGAATGAAGATTCCGAGATTGAGATTATAGATTCAGAGTTGCCAATACACGTACTAAAACACTGTAGAAACAACACTGCGCCCGCCCCAAATTCATTGAATATCCTGCTAAGCTTAAAGAAAATGTGTGGTGATTAGTGACCGTTAGTCGATGATTAATCAGAAATCGTGAGATGCGGTCTGGTGACTGATAATGATTTCTGAATAATCATATACTTAAAGAAAATTTTTACATTTGTTGTTCTAAGCCAAAGTTAGGCCAGCAAGGGTTAAAATTATAAAACCCGAATTTGAATATTTTTATCTTCTAGAGGAATGTAACAATTGGTACTGGTCGTAATTGTTAGTAAAGAACCATGTTTTTATGCGATGTGAGATTTAGGAACAACACTGCGCCCGCTCTAAATTCAGATTTCCTGCTAAGCTAAACATGATTGCTAAATTTGCTGATGTTCCGAACCAAAAATTGGACCAGAAAAGGATATTTTATAAACTGGAAATGAAATTTTTTATGCTAGACGAATATAGCTATCGATACGTGACGTAGTTGGTAAGGAAGAACTATGTTTTTGTGTGATGTGAGTTTTTGCGCCAAACAAAGTAATGTTGCTGATACATGGGCAGGATCCGTACGGTGTCAAAGCAGTTATGATAATTATAAATAAACAAAATATTGAAGGTTGATATTAATTTTATTGACAGATAATTCAAAATAATGGTTGGCATGAATGTCAAAATGTCTCCTTTCAGCTGGCCCTATTTACATTATTATCGGATATTCATGATATTATGAGTAAGGCCAATTCATATTTCCACCGAACCACGCCAAATCCTGAGTTGGGCTGATTGTCCATAGAAAATCTCCGATTTGGCTTTGGTCAAGTGGAGTTCACTAACGGTGTCGGGTTCCAGCATTGTACGCTGAGAGGGACTTAGTTGTCAGGCAAAAAACGGCGATTGTTTGCCAAGCGTCCTCGGGTGACGGGAACGGTTGATTGAGTGATTTTTCATTCTTTTCTCAGCTCGGCTTTTTAAAAGTCCGAACGAGGCATCGTCCCAGATATAGAATTGTTCTAGAATACGGCCCATTCCCCCCGCCCGGCTGGGGTGCACGTTTGGCATGAAGATGAGATCAAAATGATAAATGCCCTGAGGAAAAATAGGTGATTTACAATCCACGACACGTCTTTTTTTTAGAAATTTAAATAGTCCAAGTATCGTATAGGATTAATAGTAAAAGGGATTCGTAATCTATAAACTCCCCACTCCTAGATCCACAACGTACGAAGATCGCGTTGGCCCTTCCGTACGGGCAGAGTCCAGAATCGATCCCCCCCGGCGATGGGTCCATCAATAATCGACGTTCTGATTGGACGTTGTTATCGGATTGATGGCCTGGATGAAAGTGGTACTGGTAGATATAAAATGAATAAGGCGGTGGTCTGAGATAAGGTGGTTGCCTGTTGAAAGGGAGACGAGGGCTCGAGATTGATTGAGAAGCTGGAGATTAAGTGAGCCGAGTTAATCGTAGCCGATTAGTCATTGGTTCGATGAGACGGCCATGTTGCCCATTAGTCAACGGGGCCTTCGGGGCATCGATTTTACCTGAAGAACTTGCCTTGGAACACCGTCTCCTTACACACTCCTTTCCCATATGCCCATTGCCATTTCCTGACAGTACGGAGAAGAAACAAAAGACAGGAGGCCGGTGGACAGGTTCAAAGACCCGTTGTCGTATCACCTTTTTCATTAGTCACCGAACAATAACAGCGAATTTAAACTGAAAGTTTTAAATCTAAATGGAACGAGATCACATATCTCCATTGAAGATACAAAGATAAGAAATATAACCTCCATTCTGTTATCCTATACAGTGCAGCCAACACACCTACCTATTCATCCTTACAGGAACACTTTATCAGGACTTTTAAACTATTCTTAATAATTTACGGAATTGACAAATAATAACACCTTATTGGGTCTTAATTTTTCAAGCATGCTGTAATTACGAATTAAATCTAAACTATCTAAAGTGAATGAGATTAAACACGCGATCAGAAATATAACGTCCAACCGGTTATCCTTATTGTGCAGCGTAGGTTTAGGTTAGAATTAAATCTAAAGTGATTGAGATCAAACTCCGGTTCATTTTAGATCAGAAATATAATCTACATCCGGTTATCTCTACAGTGCAACCAACGCACCTGCCTACGGATCCTTAAAACAACGGGATTTCTTAACACACTTTATATGGACTTTTAAGCTGTTATTAATAATTTACGAAGTTGAAAGTAAAAAAACGGAGTTACAATATGTGAGCTTAATTTTTCTTGTATGTTGAAATTACGAATTAAGTCTAAAGTGAACGGGATCAAACACCCGTCCATTTTAGATCAGAAGTATAACGTTTAGGTTATTCCTGTACAGTGCTGCCAACACATATACCCATTTAGCCCAAATGTACCATGTCTGCAGCGGAATTCTCCATCAGGACTTTAAAAATATTATTAATAATTTACAAAGTTACCAATGTTGTTAATTACAATATTGAAATGTTTCAAAAAATAAGAACGGGCGGACGAGATTTACTACGCCTCCCTTATATATTGTAACGGAATCGTAACCTCCATCCTGTTATTCATACAGTGCCGCCAATATACCGACCCAAAAATCCTAACCTTATCATAATAATAACATTTTTGAATTGACAATAGAATGAGGTGTAAGCCCCATCCAATTTGTATCGGAATGGTAACCAACATCCTTTTATACAGTCCAGCCAATTCACCTACCCATTTATCCTAAATTTCAATAATTCCTGAAAGTGATTAGTAATCAATCATTCATTATTTACTATAAATTGTGAACAAGTAAAATTGTTTCAAAAGCAGCTTTTTCTATTGTAAGTGCAATCGTCGTAACGATCGCTCCTTGCATCGTAAAGATTTATTTCCACATCTACCTTTCTTTCTCTACAAATGATTGGTGTTCATTATTAGGTTGTTTTATTTGCCAATTTCTCACCTCTTAATTTTGCTTCTTCTTAATCCGGGCTCTTCGTGTATTTTCGACATGTTGATCTATCAAGCCTTCATTGCCTGCGGGTTATCTAGTTTCAATAGAAAAAATTGATAGTTGTTTTGTTTTTTATTCACAGCTCTACGAAATTAGCGACGACCCAAAAAGGAAAGAGTTCCTAGACGACCTGTTCAGCTTCATGCAAAGAAGAGGTAAGCTTTTATTTTATCAACTATAAATTTCAAGTTCGAGGTAAATCGGACGTTTTTCCAATTTCCATCTGTTGGCGTTTCCGTCTGCTACCTGGCGCGGACGAAGATTTAAAAGAAAAATACCTTTTTTCACAGTCCTTCCGATCAATCAAGCCGCTTTTACCTAGTCTTTACAACGCCCAACATGGTACACGTTAGTTGAAGGGGTTCCTCGTAAATCATAACCCACCCTGACAATATCGTATTTCATTTATTACCGCTTCACAATCTTGTACGAGAATAGCAACTTTTCCCGTACGATCGGCTTCCATTGTTCAGTTGTGTTTACGCTTCTGTATCTTTTCGCGGGGGGAGAGGATTTTGGATCTTATGCCTCGGCAGGATTTAATTTTTAACCTTTTTTANAAATTATAAAATATATATTTTATATATAAGATCTTCAGAATGAATTATAGAAAATTTATGATTTTTTTTCAGCCCCCCTCCCATATTTTAAAAAATCAGCCCAAAATTGAGTCATTTATTAAATAAAATAATAGGCTTAATAACAGCGTCAAAAATCCTGTCTTAAGTCAAATTCGCATGCCTAATTTTTAGTTCTGCCCTTTTAAAATAATTGTCATGTGAACTGGAAAATTTAAGAATTTTGACCAGTGAAACAATATTTTGCGAAGCTTTCGCCGCTTTGAGCTTAGAAAAGACAATCATAGTCGCGACATGTTTATACAAAAACCAGTTTTCGAATGGGAATAAATTTTAAATTTCAGAACTAAGACCTGTTAGAAGGTTTTTCCAGTTTATAAACCGGATTTGAAAAATGTTATCCTCTAGACAAGCCATAACAATCGATACGAATTATATCTAGGGTGTTGAAGAGCATTCTTAGAGATTGTAGATTCCAAGAGGGTCCAATTAGAGGGTGGCACCAAAAAAATCAGTGTTGCCAATACTCGGATAGAAACACAACTTGGGCAACACTGCCTCTTCGCTAAACTCACTGGATTTCCTAACCTAACAAAATTACTAAATGTGGTTTTTTATAGAGCCAAAATTAGGCAAAAAAGTGTTAAAATATTACAAATAGATACGAAGTGAAAAGGTGATGAAAAGCCACGTTGAAGATTCCAATATCGATATTTTATCTTGGCGCCAAACAAATCAGTGTTGCCAATACAATTTTATTTCCTAACCCAACCAAATTGCTGCCGGATTTACTAGTTTTATCTACAAGACTAAAATAATAATAAAAATGTTACGTCGTAGGTTATAAGAAATTTTAGTTTGGCGCCAAACATATCAGTGTTGCCAATACATAAAGACATAGAAATGACAACCCTGTGTCTCGGGTTCGACGCTTTTACACTTTTACCACGTGAACTGGAAAATTTGAAAGTTTGACCAATGAAACAATATTTTTGACCTTTTATTTGGTTTTACATAAAAACCAGTTCCTCAAAGTGGGAGAACCAGTTTAAATGTTTCTCCAATTAGAAGAGAAATGATTCAATATGTCACTTATCGATCCCATTTTAATTTTTGTAAACTTAACTTAAAACGAACTTTAAAGATGGATGTCGAATCAAGCGCTTGTATGGTGGCGTGTAATTAAATAGGCAGTGGGAAAGAGCGGTTCTTCTTCCCTTTCAAAGTCCTCAGAGGTTGAAGGATGGGCCGGCTAATGTATATTATTCGATGGGGGCTGGATTAAGGTTTTTGATGAGTTGTTAACAGGGAAGGCATGTTGTTATGAGCTTATATGTATGGATGTAATAGAAATAAAATGAAAAATGCTAAGTAAGCCCGTGGTGATTAGGTAGGATGATTGGCAGGTTGTCGCCGACCTAATGGCTACTGAAGCTCTGATTACTAACTGATACCTCAGATTTGATGGGCGCTCATCTCGCCGCTTATTAAATCCTATTTCTATACGACACTGACTGATCGCTTACACTATCTTCACTTGTAATATTTCTCTTCGCCCTACTGCTATATTACTACTACTGTTTTCAAACCGACCCTCTACAATTACCTTATAATTCAGACCTTAGGGCGATTTAAAAGAAAATAAGAAAAAAAGGAAGTACCAAATAATAACAGATGTTTTCTTTTAGTACTGTTTTATGTTTAATAACTAGTTAGAAGCCGTCTAAACTTTTATCTGTTCAATTTATCCAATTTTTCGCGTCCTTTTTCCAAGTCAACATAAATACTAAGATCCACACAAATCAGAATCCGGACATTCAATTTTGTTCAATTACCAATTCAATCAGTCATGACCGTTTTTACCCAGACGAAACGACAGTGCGCGTCAAACGGCGCAAATGTATGGGGCGTAAGTCTCTTTTTTACGAGACTGTAATGCTTTATAGTCCGGTCAGGGAGGACACATCCGCTCGTAAAACACCAATTTGATCAATCTAATAGAAAAACGATTCCTCTAAATAAAATTTAAATTCATTCCCATCACCCTTCATGGTCTAATAATGATAGTTTAGATTGGCGCTGAATAAATCAGTGTTGACAATTTACGCGCAGAACCACTCAAGTAACAACACTGCGCCTGCTCTAAACTCACGGAATTAGTCCTCTTTTAGCAAATTTGTTAAAGTTCCTGTTGTCCTGAGGCAACTTTGGGCCAGAAATTGTTAAATTATAAATTGAACGTGTAAAAACGTTGTTTGACAAATATAACAATCAATAGAAGATGCAGTTGTGGGGTGAAGAACCGTGCTGGAAATGCAACATTCCAAGATAGAGATTATAGATTGGCGCCAAATAAATAACTGTTGCCAATACACGGGCAAAAACACTGTAGGGACAACACTGCGCTCGCCATAAACTCACGTGTTTTCTGGCTAACCTTAAACAAAATTGCGTGAGTTGTCATCGATCGGAAACAACTTCGGACAAGAAAGGGTTAAATTATAAACTGAACACGAACATCTTTTATGTTTGGCAAATATAACAATCGATACAAGATGATGTGGTGGAGTGAAGAGCCATGTTGGAGATTAAAGATTCCAAAATGGAGATTTTACATTGGCGCCAAATAAATTAGTGTAGCCAATACAAGGGCAGAAACAGAGTAGGAACAACACAAATAATGGTGAACAAGTCGATTCAAAATAAATTCCCAACTTTCGTTCTCCGGCATACTTATAGATTCCACGTAATTTAGACAATTCCTATCATTTGTGTCTGGCTAACTCCGCTGATTCGATCAGGGACGAGTTTTCGCCATCTTCAGAGTGTGGATGGTCAAAAGAGGAAGACCCAAGTGGGTCTCAGAGACAAAAGAAGGGTTTAACTTTTCCTTTCCTAAATTTAATTAAGGTTAGCCAGAAATCCCGGGATTTTAGGAGAGGCGCTGCGTTTCTGTCAGTTTATTGCAACACTGAATTTCTTTGGCCCATTTTTGAAATCTCCATACTGTAATCTTTAATTTCCAACATGGCTCTTAACCACAGCATCGATTGTATATTTGCCAATGGATAAAAAAATTCAAATAAATTTGATAAATTAATCCTTTCGGCCAAATTTTGACTTTGAGCAAACGGACTTTAGAGTTTTTTTAAAGGTTAGCGGGAAACCCGTGGGTTTAGAACGAGCGAAGTGTTGCCAGTGAAAGTTTTTTTACGTGTATTGGCAGCACTGATTTGTTTCAAGCCGATCAAAAATTACTTGAAATCTTCTTTATCAACACGGCTTCTTCACCACTGGTGCATCTCGATTCATTCAAACAGATTGTTCAAACGTTAATTCAGAGAAATAGCAAGTTTAGCATGTTGATTTGGTTAGAAAATCCCGAGAGGTTATGGCGGGCGCAGTGTGGTTCCTGCAGTTTTGCCTCTGAATTGTTTCTTGCCGTGTTGGTAACTCTGATTTCTTGGGTGCCAGTCCAAAATCTTCTTCGAATTTTTTAATCTCTAACGCGGCACTTTACAACGGTCTTTCTTTTAAAATTGTTGAGTTTTTATGCAGGCAAATGATTTATTTTAATGCGGAGGCTTTTCCTTATGTCACCTGTAGGCAACAATGCACTTCTACATCTAACCTCCCCTCCAGGAATTCGAAAAATTGGTTGGTTTTATGGTCATTATAGTTATTGTAATACCAAATTTAGTACAGTTTGTCATGTAGGATTGGACATCCTACTAAATTTTAATCTAATGGACCCCTTAGATAGAACCGAATAACTTAAATTGTAAGGTCGACAAACAGTGTAACACTCGCTAATATTATAGAAATTGGTCAGTTGTTTGACTCACTGTGCTGGAATCGTTTGAGGTTTTTTTACCAACCATATGGTGGAAGCCCTTTTGTAGCCGGGATTTTGGGATTATATCACCAACAATAAATGCGCCATTAAATCCGAAAAGAAAACCCATAACCTAAATAAGCAATAAAATGAAGCGGGGAAAAAACTATAAACGGTTCGAGAGATCGAAGTTATTCGGAAGGATTAAAACATTTTTCGCCGTCCCTCTTCGTCTTTTCAATTAAATTTCCTCCTTTTTTCCTTTCTTTTTCTTCTTCTATGAAGGGGATTGATTTACGATCGTTCGTCGTTTTATTTGCCTCTTTTCTATCAAATCTTTGTTGTGGGAAATAAAAGACTTGAAAATGTACAGCCACTAAAAACCCTATCTGTGTGACACCGCACCGCGAGCGAGTCGTAAACATTGCTTCGGGACGTTAGTTAACACCAGTTATCAACAACAACAAAATAATTTAATAATTGCCTAATTTTATTACCTATTCAATTGTAGAACTAGATTTATTTTTACACCGTACGCAACGGGCATATTTTCGATTTATGTTTATTCATTTCATTTGGAATTTTTTTAAAAATATTAACGTTCGGACAGATCGGATTATTTTTTTTCTTCTGCCCTTAGCGATTTTATGGTCAGAGGGGAATAAATAATGAGGTGCCCCAAAGTGAACATTGTATGCGGTTGGCGTGTTGTCGCCGTCCTTGCGCCCTAGTGTGCGTGTGT